CGTGCGGATTATGATGCCATAAACGATTATCTGGGCTATATTGATTGGGACCTCGCCATATCTAAATTGTCTGTTGATGAGGCAACTGAATTCCTTCACCATCATCTTAAACACTCCATTTCTACATTTGTCCCTTCTCATGTGTATGTTAAGTCTTCGTATCCTGCTTGGTTCTCCAAAGAACTAATCTCTATCGTCAGAGCAAAGAAAGCGGCGCATCGAAAATACAAATATACAAATGCGTTCGCCGACTACATGGTTTTCTCTCATCTTAGAGTTAAATGCAAATCTCTGTCCTCAACGTGCTGGAATAATTATATTAATACAACAGAGTGCACACTGGCGAACGACCCAAATCTTTTCTGGAAATTTATAAAAAATGTAAAAACGGTTGAGCCTCGGGCTTCTCACATTCTACATGAAAATAGAATACTGGATGATAAGGCCACTATCGCAAATTGCTTTGCGGATTATTTCGAATCCGTCTACACTAGCAGTGGAACTGATAGCGCATGTCGAGTTAACTTGAACCTAAATCATTCCTTGGATCTATTATCTCTAGACATTACCATTGGCGAGGTCTACAAAGAGATCGATAATCTTTCGCTAAGCTGCACTGCTGGTGCGGATGGCATTCCGGCACTGTTTCTAAAGTCATGTATCTTTGTATTTGCCAGAATTCTATGGCTTATCTTTAATAATTCATTAAAGAATGGCATCTTCCCATTGTGCTGGAAACGATGCCTTGTCACTCCTGTCTTTAAGGGAGGTGACCGACAGTTAGTCACTAATTATCGGCCTATCTGTAAACAGAATATCATGCCAAAGATTTTTGAAGGAATTATTGCTAAAAAGCTCAGCTCACTTTGCAGAAATGTCATTATAACAGAACAACACGGATTTATGTCCGGTAGATCCACGACAACCAACCTTGTCAACTACTGCAATTATTTAACATCTGCTATAGAAAACGGATCTCAGGTTGACTCTGTTTACACAGACTTTAGGAAGGCATTTGACACTGTTGATCATTCTATTTTAATCGGGAAACTTCGAACCCTAGGGTTCGATGGCTCTCTTTTGCGATGGATATTAAGCTTCCTCTCTAACAGGACTCAAGCGGTAAAGTACTTTAACCATATATCAAGAGATTTTGCTGTGGCGTCGGGAGTGCCGCAGGGATCGCATCTTGGGCCTCTCTTATTTGTTTTATTTATCAATGACATATCCAGTTATCTTAAATATAGTAATTTCTTATTATATGCTGACGACCTAAAATTATTTAAACGCATTGACTCCCCTTCTGATGCACGTCTATTGCAGCAAGATCTTCTGGCGCTTGGGTCCTGGTGTGAGAAAAATTGCCTGCGGCTCAATATCTCTAAATGTTTTATTGTTCGTTTCACACGTAAGCGTGACCCTTTTCTCTTCGATTATGAGCTTGATGGTTTGCCTCTCACAGTTACAGAAGAGATCCGAGATCTAGGTATCACATTCAGCAATAATTTAACATTTAACAAATAAAAACTATGGTTGCCACTGCAAATAGAGCTCTCGGATTCATTCTCCGCTGGGGGAGGTATTTTAAGAACATACACACTCTGAAACTTTTGTACTGCACACTAGTTCGTCCAAGGTTGGAATACTGCTCCACCGTATGGTCTCCGTATTACAGATGCTATCATAATCTGATTGAGCGTGTGCAGCACAAATTCTTGCGTATGGCCGCTTTTAGGATAGGCATTCCCATGGAGATTACCTGCCACAACTATCACCCCATATCAAATAGATTAAATATACTCTCTCTAGAGAAGAGAAGACAGATAATTGATCTAACCTTCATCTATCAATTAATCAATTACGGCGTTGACAGTCCAGAGTTACTAAGAACCATAAATCTAAATACTCCACTAAGGAATCTGAGACAGTATGCCATATTCCATGTTGAATCCCATCGGACAAATTATGGAATAAATTCAAGCGTTTCTAGGTTGGTGATCTCCGCGAACCACTATTCAAACAAAATAGACTTTTTCGACGGTACTCTGGCCAGTTTCAAACGCAAGCTCCTCCATCAGTTCTCATGATCACTACTCTGTTGCACTCTTGACGTATATGTATATTAGCTCAACTTTTAACAACTTTACTTTATTCATTTATACTCCGGAATTATTTATACTCAGCAGTCTCTGTGCAATTTTATTTAATTTATTTTATTTTATATTTTATTTTATATTTATTTTATTATATTTTATTATTCTTATCTTAGTACTTACTTACCTATTTTATTTATTTATTTTAATCATGTATTCTCGTTTTAATACTTACCTATAAACTAAATTCATTTTATTATATTTTATTATATTCAAATGATTTATACTTTATAAGATTAATTTAATGCACTATATAGCCTAATTATGCTTATGCGACTTTATTTTATTTTATTCTATATATATACTCTTATCTACTGTAACCGCATTCTCTAATATATTTATGTATCTCCTCTGTATACTAAAGGGTTATCCCGTAAATAAAGATTTATTATTATTATTATTATTATTATAGTTATCGAGTAATTAATTTACACGTCTGAGCGAATGAGGATGCAGAATACGGTAGGCCGGACTCGGAAGGCATTTAAGAAAATCGATCGATGAGCGGGAGGTGGAGCGACGCGCGAGATACTATGTTTATGTTTCGGGTCGCCCGTCGCTCGCGCTCGCTGCTGCGCTCGCCACCCGCGCCGCGCTCCCCGCCGCGCCTAGGTTTTTTCCCACCACGGTGTATCTCGCGCGTCGCTCCACCTCCCGCTCATCGATCGATTTTTTTAAATACCTTCCGAGTTCGGCCTACCGTCTCCTGCATCCTCATTCGCTCAAACGTGAAAATTAATTACTCGATAACTATTATTACTTTTGTACCGCGGCACATGACATTTCTCCTTAGTTTAACCCAATCTATCACTATTTTCAAGTTGGCTACTTTTGCATCAGACACCCTGTATATTCCGATTCTTCATTATCAGGTTGGGGTTGTTTTTCTAATCATACAAGTACCTTTGGGTTTTGGAGCAAAAAGAAGAAACATATAAATTACCTTGAGTTACTTGCTGCCTTTTTCGCACTAAAAAGTTTTGCCTCAGATGTATTTCAAAGTGAAGTACTTCTTCGACTAGATAATACTACAGCTATATCATATATAAACAGAGCAGGGGGTGTTCGATTTCCTCACCTTAGTGAACTAGCTAGAGAAATATGGAAATGGTACGAAGATAGGAAGATATGGTTAAGAGCTTCATACATTAGCTCAGCAGAAAATGTACAAGCAGACAGAGCATGACGCAATACTAACACAGATACTGAATGGGAACTTTCTCCATCGGTTTTCAAACAGATTGAAGAAAGGTTTGGGCCTTTTTTAATAGATCTATTTGCATCAAGATTAAATAAAAAATGTTATAGATTCTACTCTCGTTTCCCTGACCCTGAAGCAGAGTTAGTGGATGCCTTTACGAAATCTTGGAAGAACGAAATATTCTATGCTTTTCCTCCCTTCGCACTAATCCTTCGCACCTTAAGAAAAATTATAATCAATGATAAAGCAATAGGAATACTTGTTGTACCTTTATGGCCCACTCAGCTCTGGTACCCTCTTTTTACATCACTTCTCACTGAACCTACCGTCACATTTAATCCAAACAATTGTTTATTATTATCTCCTTATAGAGACAAGAAACATCCATTAGCCCCCCACCTTTCATTGGTAGTAGGCAAATTATCAGGACGGCATTCTTGAAGAAAGGAATCAGTGAGGATTCTGTGGATGTGATGGTCGATTCCATTACAAAATCGACTCTGAAACAATATGAATGTAACCTAAAATGCTGGTGGGATTATGCGCATACTAAAGGATTAGATATCTTTAATACAAAATCTTCAGACATTATTAGTTTTTTCATTAATAGATTTAAAAAAGGTGCAAAGTATAGTACGTTAAACACTGCGCGAGCGACTATTTCTTTAATCTCAATATATGATATAAACAACGATGGTTTGATCTCACGTTTCTTGAAAGGTGCATTTAAACAAAGACCAACTAAACCGAAGTACGCTACGACATGGGTACTACTCCGGTTCTCAATTATAATATATTGAAAAACTTCACCCTCTCAAAAAGTTGAGGTTGAAAGAAGCAGCTGAAAAAGTCACCACGTTTCTAGCATTAACAACAGCTCAAAGATTACAGACGTTGGCATTGATAAAAACTGAAAATATGTCAGTATCTTGTTTCGGTATAAGTATAAAAATTACAGATCAAATCGAAACATCTAAACCAGGGAGTTTCCAACCCGAATTAATACTACCTTTCTACAAAGAGAAACCAGGATTATGTGTGGCATTAGCAGTATTGGAATATGTTAAACTTACCAAAACTTTACGAAATCAAAACACAAAAAATCTATTAATTGCAACTAAAAAACCATTTGGAGCGGTATCTGCACAAACCATTGGTCACTGGATTAAATCACTTCTGGACAAGGCTGGCATCGATACTAAACAGTTTACAGCATACAGTACTAGACATGCGGCAGTATCCTCTGCTTATAGAAGAGGAGTGGATATTAACACCATTAGACGAAGTGCTGGATGGGCTCCTGGCTCTCAAACGTTTTTCAAATTTTATAATAGACCGGTACAGATAGCTAATGAGCACTTTGCTCATGCAATTTTGCGTTAGAGTTTTTTTCCTTTTTTTTGTAAGTCGTCTTATGTCAGGTACTAAAGATTGATACTAAAGATTGTATGAAAAAGATATATTATATATAATATATGATTTCAATTATATAATTTCATAAAAGAAATTATTACGAATTATCACAGGCTCTGAAACGCTCTCCCTCGTGTGGGCCACCTTGTCGTGGTGAGGGAGCTTAAGGCGGGGGCCCTAGCGGTGATGTTCACTGCAGGGGCCCCCGCCAACTAAGAGTCCACATAGGCCAGTTAGGGCCTAGGGAGGTGGTTGCCCGCTGTCCCGAGGGTCACTGACCAGAGGGGCGCGGGTGGCCTCGGGGGGGGGTCGTACGAGACGACCCCCCCACCTCCCGGAGACAGAAGCCTGGTGTCCGGAAGGTAGTCAACCGGAAGGGCACCAGGCCGTCGCCAGGGGTGCCCCGACCCATGTTCCATGGGTGGTTGCCCGGAAGACACGGGAAGGGGCAGGATGGAGGGATGGGTTGGTTTCCCTGTGTCCGGAGACGGTGCCCCTTTTAGGGCGTGCGGTTTGGGCACGGGGGGTTCCACCGACTCATCCCAACATCCAGAGAAGACGTGCGTCGGAGCCGCTGGGACATTTCCCATGTCGGGGTCCGGCGGGTCGCTGGTGGGAGACACCCGAGGCCGCCGGGACATTCCCAGGCAGGATCCCGGGTCCATTGCACGCTAGTGCTCCGGCGGGTCGGGGGATTGCGGAGAACCGTCCTCCCGGCCATGCGTGGCATGGTATCGAGGCCGTGGTGGGGCCCCCCCGTGGTCAGTCTGTCGTTAACTGGACGTGGTCCGGGGCAGCTGACCCGGGGGAGAGGGGGGAGAGCCGGGCGGGTCGCCAGGACATATTCCTGGGTCGGGGTCGCTCGGCTAAGGGGATCGTTGCCCGCGGGGCCGCCGGGACGTATTCCCGGGTCGGGGTCCGCGGGCGGCGGCACTTACCTGGAGGCCTGCGGGGGTCGCGGGTCCTGTCGGGCTCCTCGGGGTCCTGGCGTCGTTCGGGGGATGGCAGAGTGTACAGCTCAAAAACTGGGTTAGTGTTCCCAGGCAGCACGATAGTACAGGGGCCCGTTGCCGCCTAGTCAGCGTGCAATGGCTGCCCCACCAGCGTGCGCAAATCCCACGGCGCGCGTGCTGCCGGCTGACGACCGGGCGGGACCGCGCGTGCTGCCGTGGGGGGCTTTGCCGAGGCCACTGCCGTCCTCTGGGCGATGCCCTCGGGCCCCGAGCTAGAGGTCCGGTGGGCTCGTGATTCCTGTGGGATGAAAGGGATGTGCAGGGGAGCTCCAACCGCTGCCGCGGCGAACTCTCTTGCACGCACGCACGCACGCACGCACGCACGCACACGCACACGCACACTGAGTAAGAGGGCGCTTGATTTATACTTTTCAACATGAACAGTGCAACAAAAAAAGAGATTTGCACTAAAAACACCAGTCTCGCCGGGGTTCCCGCCCCAAAGAAAGGCAAGGAGGCTATCGTTGTGCTCGACCACGTTGTGATCGACCCAGATAGCTCCCAGGGCAGGGCCATCAGCAAGAAGCTGAAGGGTCCCACGTCCGGGAGACGAAAAGAAGAAGACGAAACGGCGACGGGGGAAGCGGGAGGGAAGGGGAGGCAACCTGGCGCCTCACCGTCCACCTTCGCGACCCTTACCACTACGCCGGCCGGCACTCCGCTGCCGGAAAGGAAAGGACTGCGACGCTCCGCCTCAAATGCGTCGATGAAATCCATCGCTTCTGCGTCGGCAGCATCGATAACGGGAGACCGGACGGATGCCGGAGGCAGCGTGGCGGACTGTTCCGACACTGAGATGACGGACGACAATCCGCTGCCGAGCGACAACCTGCTGCCGCCCAAACGCCTCCGCGGGAGGCAGCCTATTACCGGTGCGTATGCAGGAAAGCGCAAACTGGATGAGTGTCAGCGCCTCCAGGAAGAGCGCCGCAGAGAGGAAAGTATCTCGGACCCCAATGTGAAGCCCAAGGTAACAAAGAGCCGGGTCATGCATCGGAACAAGGCACAAGAGGAGGTGAAGGGTGTGCCGACAGTCGGACTTGCTCCGATGATTCTGGAGCAAGTTAAAACCGTGCTGAAGGTAGGAGAGAAGTCCCAGTCACTCAGGGGGAGCTATTTGGGAGCGCTAAACAGGGCGGCAGCTGTGATCGAGGCAGCCACATGCCAACTCGCGATTCGGACGCAGGAGTCGGTAGCAGCGGCGAAAATAGATGCCGAAATGGAGATGCTGAGGGAGGAAATATCCTCCCTCAGGGCCCAAGTGGAGACCCTCAAAAAGGGGAAACAAAAGGCAATGCGAGGGCGAGGCCGTCCTCTTCGGAGGACGATGCGCCAGTATCCATGACGACCTCGCCGCCTCGTAAGAGGAATAAACGCCGGGAGGAGAGCGCTGTCTCGCCGATTATTGCGAGTAAGATACTCCCGACATCCGAAGAAACGGCTATGGGCGAGCTCGTGAGAAGGGAGTTGGTAACGGAACCGATCCCTCCCGTGATGCGACCCAACCTTGGAGGAACCACCAGGATGCTAAGCCCGGCACGAGGACCGAAGCAGCAGGTGGAACATAAGGAGGAAAAAATAGGGGCCAGGGTCTCCCGAATAGAGGGGATCCTTGAGGCCATAGCCAGGGAAATGGGGATAGACCCTTCTCGCCCGGCCGCCCCCAAGGGCACCGTTATAAAGAAGGGAGGTAAGAACCCCTCTCGCCCGGCTGCGGATAGCACCGGTTTAAGGAAGGGGGGAAATAAGGGCAAGGAGACCATGGCAAGAGAGAAGCCTGCTGGGAAGGGAGATAAGAAGGGGAAGAGCGGAGGGGCCGTTAAGGTGGCTGTCCCCGCTCCCCCAGCTGGAGGCAAACAGAGCGACCAGGCTGCCCCAAGAGTACCCGCTAAGGGGACTCGTGAACAGCCCCAGTCAGGGAAGGGGGCTGCCAATACTGGCACCCGATTAACCTCGAAACCCCGGGACCCTCTGGGGTCCGCTTCGTGGGCTGAGGTAGTCAAGAAAGGGAGAAAAGGGGGGAAAGAAAGGGCACAACAACAGCCCTCCCCTCAGCCAACCTCCGGCGGACAAAGCGCATGGGGACCCGTTGGGTCGAAGATGCAGTCCGGGGGAGCCAGGAGGCTCAACCCCTCTAGATCATCCATCGTCACACTCACCTGCCCAGAGTGGCAATACGGTGAAGTAATGGCGGAAATCAGGGGAAAAATCAGTCTCCCCGACCTTGGGATCGAACGGGGAGTGAAGGTGAGAAGGGCAGTGACAGGAGCGCCCTGGAAGACCCGGGACAAGGTAGTCCCGAGAAGGCAGAGCGACTGAGAGAGGCGATCGCGACAGTGGTCGAGGCCAAGGAAGGTGTAAAGGTGGCCAGACCGGTGAAACAGGCAGAACTGCGGATAAAAGGGCTCGATGAGTCGGTGTCCATACCCGAGCTCGCTGGGGTGTTGGCTGCAAAAGGGGGATGCCCCTTAGCGGAGGTCAATGTGGGCCCGATTAGGAGGGCGCCAAATGGGACGGGCACCGCTTGGGTGAGATGCCCAGTGACGGCGCTCAGCTCAGCGCCCCCTCCAGTGCTACAAATGTTTGGAGGGCGGACATGTTCGGGCTCAGTGCCGCAGCGAGGTGGACCGTAGCGATTTGTGCTACCGCTGCGGAGAACCCGGACACGGAGCGCAACAGTGCTCGAGGCCGGTTAAGTGCCCTCTCTGTTCGAAGGAGGGCAAGCCCGACAGGTACCGCGCCGGTAGTCAGGCGTGTGCTCCTGCGCACAAAAGGTGGAAGGGGGGCGCAAATCGGGGGACAATCCCCGCGACACAGGCGCCCGGCCCCCCCCCACAAACGCAAAAGTCCAAGAACGGCGGCCAAACCGTCCTGCCCGGAGCTCGAAGCATCCGAGCCAGGGCCCAGCGGAGTGAGGATGGAGGAGGAGATGGAGGTGGATGAGGGAACATCAGTCCGGGCGGAATCGCCCCTGCCGGTCGCCCCCATCACCCCCGTGGCCTCTCAAGCGACGACGCTTGATTGGCCGGACGAAGGAGAGCCGGGCTTAGAACGGTTCGAGGAGGGAGGGGGAGAGGACCCCGTAGCCCAGCCCGTTAATGTTGACCCGTAGGGTCGTCCAAATTAACCTCAACCACGCCCGCCGAGCCCAGGACCTGCTCATACAGGTCCTGGCGGAGCGTGGAGCTGGGCTCGCGGTTGTGGCAAAACCCTACAAAGTCCCGGGGGACCACCCTTGCTGGGTGGCCGACCGGTCTGGTAAGGCTGCCATTTTCTGGATCGCAACACCGACCTCGCCCCCGTTCTCATTCATCGAGAACGGTGACGGCTACGTCGCGGCGCTGTATGGCAACGTTGTAGTGATAGCGGTGTACGTATCACCCAATGTCGACCGGGCGCAATTTGCGGCGTGGCTCGATGAGTTGGCGGGCTGCGTGCGCAGAGCCAGAGGGCAGCCGGTCCTGGTGGCCGGGGACTTCAACGCCAAATCAGCGAGATGGGGTTCCCGGACCACCAATCCGCGCGGGAGAGACGTCGAGGACTGGGCTGCCTACCTAGGCCTTGAGCTCGCCAACTCGGGCGGGGTTAGTACCTGCGTGCGGGCCCAGGGGGAATCGGTAATAGATCTCACCTGGGCGAACCCCCTGGCCGCACGCAGGATCGGAGGGTGGAGGGTCCTCGACGACATGGAGTCCTTGTCGGACCATGTCTATATCGAGTGGACCCTCACCCATGCCCGGCGAGGAGTCGGGCCGGAGGCGCGCCGGCCGCGCCGTAGTTGCGGCCTAAAGAGGTGGGCGATCCGCCAGTTAGACGAAGACCGTCTTAAGGCTGCCCTGCTGGCTGCGACGTGGCCCCCAGAGGAATTCTGGGGCGGCCCCGAGATCGAGGGTAGGGTGGCCTGGCTGCGGACCGTCCTCCAACGGGTGTGTGATGTGGCGATGCCTCGGGCCCCAATCTTTACCGGCCGCAAGGCCGCGTACTGGTGGTCCGAGGACATCGCCGATCTCCGGCGAACGGCACTACGGGTCAGGCGCAGGGTTCAGCGGACCCGACGCCGTAACCTAGCCGTGAGGGAGGCAGCTGCCTCCGATTGGCGCGAAGCCCGTTCGGCCCTCTGTGCAGCCATACGGAGGGCCAAGGACGAGGCCTTCGACGCCTGGATCGGTGGCCTGGACGGAAGCCCCTTCGGCCAACCCTATCGTTGGGTAATGGACCAACTGCGCCCCCGGGTACCCCCAGTCACGGAGACGATGGAGCCGCTGCTCCTCGAAAACATACTGGGGGAGTTATTCCCGGGAGACGGAGAGCCGCTGCCGGTCGACGCCGATATGGGCACTGGCCCTGAGGCGGGCGATCCGGAGTGGCGGGGCGAGGTTTCCGTCACTACTGAGGAGGTGACCAAGGTGGTCAAGAAGCTCAAGGCGCGGAAGGCGCCAGACCCAGATGGGGTCCCGGGCTGCGTCTTGGCCACGGCGGTCAGAGGGGTCCTTGCTGGTTTCCTGGGGCGCCTGTTTACGGACTGCCTCAGGGCCGGCGGCTTCCCGCGGGAGTGGAAGAGAACCAAGTTGGTTCTCTTGCACAAGCCGGGCAAGCCAAAGGGCTCCCCCTCGGCGTACAGGCCAATCTGCCTGTTGGACGAGGTCGGCAAG